CGAGGGGCAGCCGGAGCCGCACGTCTCGCGTGGCGCCCCCCGCCAGGTGAGGGCCGCTGGGCCCCTTCCCTCCTTCCCTTCCCAGCCCCCGTGTAGGCCGCAGGCGGCGAAGGCCTTTCCGCCATTCCGGAGTTGGATGACGCTCCGGGGCGGGGAGGAGGGGAGCCGGCTGCTTTGAGCTCGGTTGTAGCGGGTTTGCGAGGATGAAAGTGGGATCTCCTCAGCGCTCGCTGGGCTGCAGAGCCTGGCCATCCGGTGCCTGCGCGTTAAAGCCCTATTTAATCTGCCCCTTTTAGGTTATATCTCATTTCTCGCAAAATAACGCAGTCCTTTGGGGCGTGGGGGTAAAAGAGCCAAAAAGAAGCCCATAAACCTGACCCTGTTGTGCATAAATCGCTCGCTAGAACATTTGAGTTCTTGGCATCAGTGTGCAGGGTGTGACAAGGAGGCACTGCAAATGTTTGCGCCCTGGAACTACGTGGCCTCTGCCCGCTTTGTGTTTGGAGTGATGATGTGAGGTTTCTCTTGTCTTTGCAGTCGGGCACCACAAATGAGAGCTGCATCCCCGGCGCCTGCTGCTCGGGCGCCTGTCCCAGCAGCGGCACCTCCTTCTGCTGTGGCTGCTCCTGCACCAAAGCAGCCTGGTCTGATGGCACAGATGGCTACAACCGCTGCTGGAGTTGCTGTAGGCTCTGCTGTAGGCCATACCATAGGTCATGCGCTTACAGGAGGATTTGGTGGAGGAAGCAGCTCTGAAGCTGCAAGGCCTGATATTACTTATCAGGTAAGACCAAGCACAACTGGACACCAACTAATGAGGCACAGCTAACTTGGGACATCAGTTATGTATAGGCTGATGTAATTGCAATAGACATAAAGATCACACAAATCATGGCTCAGAAAGCTGGGGTAACTTCCACAATCACCGTGAGTATCTTAAAAGTAGTTCAAAGAGATATATGAGTGATATGTGCTTCTGCTAGGGTGTGAGTGTTGTTTTATACTATAGTAACTCTCCGATTCAGACAAGACTTCCTTGTTGCAGGTCTGCTGATGGTAAGATCTATTGCAAGACCTTTTTGTGCTCATCAGACATTAAGATGATGGTGTTACCTTGCCCAGGTGCTATCCAAAGTTACCCAGGTGTCTGTAACTTTAAAAACTGTTCAGAATATGTCATGCCACTGCTGGAAATTATTTTGTACTTCAGCCCGTTACTTGTTTTCCATTTAAAAAGTAACATAAACATTTTGACTAAAACACGGGGAAGAAATATGCAGCAAGCAGTACTGGGGCTAGAGCTGTTGAAAGGGTGCTTATGGAGGTGTCTGCCATTTCAGGAGCCCCAGGCAGCTCAGCCTGCCTACCAGCAGCAGCAGTCACAATTTGCTCCTTGCCAGTATGAAATGAAACAATTCCTGGAGTGTGCGCAGAACCAGACTGACCTCAAGCTGTGCGAGGGCTTCAGCGAAGTACTGAAGCAATGCAGGTTTGCTAATGGTAAGTAGATGGTGCTACCAGAACGCTACTAACTGTGCTAATCGGTACAATTATTGTGGGAATGTCCTGTTTTTCTTTCAATCCATCCAGTAAAGAATGGGGGTCGATACAGAGCACATACACTGAAGTCAGTTAAAGGAAGCTGCTGTTCTGTTTGGCTTCCTGTTTTGGTCCTGTACATGTAGCTGGAAGTGATGGGGTGGAGAGAGGATGAATTATGAAGCTTTTGTGCTGGTGCATGGACTGAAGCTGATGGTTTGGGAGAGTGGTGGCAGCAGGCTTGGAGAATCAGCATCGCAATGCTGGCCTGTAGCAAGCGCCCACTTGGCACTGCTGACAAACCATCCTGACATGGGAGAAAGGAAACTGCCAAACGCCGGTGCCCAGGTGGACCGCTGAACTCCGCGGTTTAACATGTCCCAGGAAATCGATGAGGGGAGAGGGAACACCCTAATGTACATCTGCTTTACAGCAAGTGAGACCACCTGCTGTTTAGGGATTCAAAACTTACTGCGATTAACTGTGATTAACTTCTTACCTTTCAGGTCTAGCCTAAGCCTTCAGAACAAGGTTGCTGAAGACCATCTGACAAGAACTGACCTATGAATGGAAAAAAAAAGCTTCAGTAATAAAGTCTAAAGCTGTCTGATATCTTGTTAGTTCATATATTCACACTATTGTCCTCCTCATGGCTTGATTCCTGCTATAGCCGTTACAGATGTGATACAGCTTACAGCTGCAAATTAATTTAGCACAAAATGGAAGAATGAACAATAAAGTGGAATGAGCTAATTTGGATTAACCGGTTTGCTGATCGTTGTGTTGAATGTAAGTGATACGGTGTATAAATAAACTCTCTCTAGAAGTGCTTTAGTGGACTTTGGAGTTGAGTCTCAAGGGTGAGCAGGCAAGAAGTGATTTTGGCAGGCTTCTGTCTGCTTGCCAGCCGTGGTGCCTGAAGGGCTGGAGCTGTGGGAGTTCAGGAGCACCTGTAGCTCTGTGGTTAGCTGTGGTTGCCAGGCATCTCCTACTGGAGCGTTTGAACCCCACAGGCAACTTCTGCTGACTAAAATGTGTAGTGACAAGGAAGGCTGTGTCTGACCCCCCACAGGTCTCAGTTCCCCAAGGGCATCCTGTCATACTTCTAAAAACAAGCTCTGTATTCAGATTTGAGAGATTGTGAGAAGTAACTTCCCTCTGCCCAGAAGGATCTCAGTGGTAGGCCATTACCCAAGAACCCCATGCACCATCAGGCAGCACTTCCAAGAGTGTGTTCTGCCTGTCGGTAAAAGCCCTCATCTCTGATCTGCAGTTCCTGGAAGCGAAAGGAGAAAAAACAATATTCAAGATGGGGAAGGGTTACCTCAAACATGGGAGACAAGGACACAACGACCTTTCCTGGTGACAGGAGAAGCTTTGCTTCTGCTGATGAAGCTCACGTCTCAGTTGCCAGGTGTTTCACTGTCCTGGTAAGAAGAAAGAAAAACGTTTTGGGCCAGAAATGCCTGCACTGGGCTGCTGGCGGGTTTGCAGCAGACATCCCTAAAATGCTCTTGGCGAGCAGGCAGGGAGATGCACGTAGACCTTGGGGAAAGTACAGCGCGGCCGGTAAAACGTTTGCAGCTCGTAGCGGGTGGAAAGCGGTGCCCACGCAGGAAAGCCGGGAGGGGGGACGAGCCAGAGCCCGCCCGCAGCATCGCCACTTAGGAGCGGCTCAGCC